ACAGCTATTTTTTACTCAGCCACATACATATATATTGAGAGAGAAAAATATTTTTTCACATGAACGCTGACTGCCAAATACTATTAAAGCAGCATCGTGATAACTCACTTGAAATCTGTCTTTCTGTTTTGATAGATCTGAAAACCTTTAATAATCATGCATTAGACACACACCCACAAACACAAATTTGTTAATAAAGGGCAGACACACATTTTAAATCTAAACCCATTTGGAATTTTGTGAGCATGTCATGGGTGCTCTCACAGAATTACTGCCCATGGAAGGCTATGGCAGCAAAAAGATACAGTACTATACTGTATTTGCATTCCAAATCCTACTATGTACAAGAAAACAAACTTGTGCAGTTTTCTATGTCAACCCCCAGGATGCCCCAGTATTACAAAATGGGTTGGGGCATTCTTGTAAACAAAGCTGAAGTTGGGGATTCATGCTTTATTTTTAAGCTCATTATGTTTTGTTTACATTCTTTCAATTAACAGAAATTGTAGAAATATTTCTGAATCCCTTATGCCTAGACACCTACTGTCTATCGATATTTTGGAAAGCACAATATTAACCAACCTTTAGTACATTATATTTTTATTTACTATACAGTGTTTACATATCACCAACCTAATTTCTCGATCATGTATTGAAGAGGAGTATGATATATCCAGTGTAATGCCAAAATCCCTTAGAGACCGTTGTATTTCTTCTAAGGAACCCATCTGTTGACTCTTTCCATGACCCTGTTAAGACATTTTATAATTTAAACTTGAATAGACAATTGAAACCTTGTCGATTCAGAATTCTCTGAAAAACGTTGCTATTTTTAATTACATTAATGTAGGCCACATTAACATTGTTTTCAATCAAAACTTATAAATTATCTAATGAAGAGAAGCCTGTACCAATTATTTTTCTGGGTAAATGATGGATGACTTGTAAGAAAACCCTGATTCCATGACACAGAAGCCATACATAAAAATGTAGAAACTGTAGGCCTCAGAGGCTGGTGGAAAAATCAGAGGAAGATGATTCCTGCCATCTCCTACAATACAGATTTTCAGAATTAATTAGTAAAGCACTAATACAATAGAAAGGGTAGCAAAACTGTATCTCAGCGATAGGGCATAAACTTATATGCAAAAGGTACTTAGTAAAATTCTTGACATTTCTTGTAGATACCGGAATGAAACTTTGAGGAACTGCTACAATAAACATAAAATATTGAACTGAAAACTAAATTTTTTTCTAATTACCAATTTAAAGTTGATATTATCTTACTGTAAAAAATACCTACATTAAGCTATTTTTAAAACTATTCTTATCCCAAAGCAAAACTATCTCCATTAATACAAGAAGTATTTAATTTTAATGTAAGTGATAGCAATCTTTTTCACCCACAAAATGATTTTTCAATCAATTTCTTTTCTGACCCAAAATGTGATACAGAATATTATTTACAGAATAAAAATTCTTTTCTGTATTCTAATCATGGTGATTGCAACAATACTTCCATTCAGCAAATGTATTTACTCTTACTCTAAGTAAGAGGACATTTATGCAATCCTAAATAATTTAAGAATTCATATTAAATTTTGTAATATGATTACAGTCATAAATACTTACTTCTTCATGAGATGTAAGTAGGTGTATAGTTTTCATTCTGCATGGTCCTTTAACAAGCATTTCACAGAATCTTAAGAAGTTGTACAACTATAGAAAATTAAACAGGATTAATTTTTCAGATGGAAAAGGGCAAAATGTCTTGATTAAATGCAGCACCGCTATCTCACCTGATGGGTTTGGCGAATATAAGGATCCTCAACCCAAACCTCTGTAACAGTTTCATTTAGATACTCTTGGAACAGTTTTTCATAGCTGAATCCTTTGCTATTCTCTTCGATTTTTATTTGTTTGTGGCATTTCCCATCTAAGTACAAGAACAAACTTTCACTAAGCATCGTACCTCATTACAATTATGGTTGAATTAAAAAGATCTTCCATTGTAACTTCATACCTTCTTTTTCCTTCACAACACATTTTTTAATGTCTTCCGCTCTGTTCATGTAACTTGATATTTTGTCTCTGTAGTAAGCCTTTTTCTTTGCATCCTTTGTAGCTGCGAATAGAAGATATGAAAAAATGAAAAAGGATACCTGTATTTTCAACTGCCCACCCATTTTTTCAGGGCAGTTGAAAGTACAGGTAGTCCTTGACTTATGACAACAACAGAGACCAAAAGTTCCATTGTAAGTCATTGTAGTCGTAAGTTGAGTGGGACATGATTCTGCGATATCAAGCAAATCCTGCTTCAATGCCTTTTCCCATTGGCAAAAAAAGTTGCAAATTGTGATAATGTGATCACAGGAAGCTGCAACTGGCTGTAAATGCAAACCGGTTGCCAAGTGCCTGATCTGCAATCATGCAACTGCAGTTGTGATATGATGGTCACCACAAGTGTAAGTACAGGTTGTAAGTCACTTTCTCCAAGGCCACTGAAACTTTACAGGGGTCATCCTCATATGACTGTTCATTTAAAAATGGTTAAATGAATGATCATAAGTAAGGGATAAGAATATGTGTTTTGAGATCTTATTAAGAAAATAACGTGATCAGTATCCTTTCTAAAAACGTATAATAGAAGCTTTTTCCTTCAGAGGAATGTATGTTCTCATACATTGAATTGATATTGAATTATGGCTGCTTGGTGTTGCACCACACAGCCCATCCACAAAGCTTTGCTCCCCTAACCCAAGCTCTGCAGTGTTCCACTGTGTTGTGGAATACTGCAGAGCTCAGGTTAAGAAAGGACTCCATACCATTCTATTGCTGGGCCATGCAATATGATTGTGGAAGCAGCCTCTAATTTTCCAAGAGAGGCTGCATTGAATTGCAGCTACTTAGAAAATGGCAGCTTCTTAATCACATTGTGCAGCCCAGTAATGGAGCAGCTTACTTTACTTCCCTAACTTGAACCTCTTTGAAAGGTAAGTGCATGATGGCTGACACTAAATGAGGAGAGTTTGGGCCCCAGTGGTATGGGAAGCAGGCTTGAGGCCTGATGGGACTCTGAAGGTTAGAAAGGGGAACATGAGATATCTCAGGAGTAGGGGAGACTTTGGCAGACCCAGGGCAGGTCTTATACTAGGCCTCCTCTGGGTCCCTGAAGCATCCTATGCTTCATTTAACAACCACAGTGAGAAGAGTAAGGATGTAAGATTCCATGGCAACTTAATGTGAATTTTCTAAGTTAATCTGATATGAGAAATCATAGATGGAGATAATAGCTGTAGTAGCCAAATAACACATGGCATTTTCAATACAATACAGGTAGTCCTTCACTTAATGTCCAATTTTTCAGCAACTGTTCAAAGTTACAATAGCACTGAATGAGGGGGATCTATGACAGGTCATTGTAATTGCAACCACTGTAGCATCCCCATGGTCCTATGATCGCAATTCAGACACATGGTAACCACCTCAAAATTGCAATGTCACGACATCCCACAGCCACATGATCAGCATTTGAGACCTTCACTGTTGGCTTCCAACAAAGTCAGTGGGGAATCAGGCATAGGCTTGCAAATGGCAATTGCATGAGAGTGGGATGCCGAGAGTAGAGATGCTGAGCTTGTCTAAGGACAGTAACTGGAAGTGCTGGAATTTCTATCACAGATAAGCACAATTACAAGATGGTGTTCCTTGACTTAGCAACCATTCCTGATCACAATTACCACTGGTAATTTTCTTCCAGGAAAGGATGCAATTGGAGTATCTATCCTCCATGGTTGAATTTTGTACTTATTATCTCAGTCTGAGAAAACAGAAGATCAAAATCTGTAAGTATAGAAAAGCTTTCCATCTCTGAAACTTGTTTCCTCAACATTCATTCAGTTTGAAACCTTTCCCAATGGTTTCAAGTAGTTATTAAAATTCACCGGAGCCAGAATGTGGACTTAAGGAACACTATACAGTAATTTCTACTTAAAAAGTACACCATCTTAATTTATTTGAATTAATGATTAAGCTTCAGGCTATTTCCCATTATATTTTACAAAATTTACAGTACAACTATGGGAGCAGACATGTCTGAGAGTCTAAAATAACACACTTCAGAGAATATTTCTAGGGAAACCAGAATCGGAAAGGGATCCATCCCAGCACAAGCATATTACAAATTTACAATCTGAATTACTTAAAACAGGATGCAGGGAGTGGACCATCCACCGTTCCTAAACAAATACAGGGCAGCTATATTTTGATCCAGCCCAGTTCTATAGGTGGTGAAAGTACACCTTTTGCATTAAATCCTGCAAACTTTTAAATACTAAGCAAGGTGAACAAATCAAATGCAGAACTTCTCCCTTCAGCGATAAAGATCCCTTACAATTAGGATTTCCGCGTTCATATGCAATCCATCTCTGGCTAAGCACAAGGCAAGCAAAATTCTTTTTCCGATTTACTACGATTGGTGAAATGTGGCACCGCACAAGCCAGTTCATCTCCTGGTTCAGGGGTGGGAAGACGAAACTCTCACCTTTCAGCACACTAAGGAGGAGATCGATCCCTTCCTGGTAGCAAATCAGCGACTCCTGGAAACGCGAAGCCGAATCCAGTTCCACCGCTCGCTTCAGCACCGTCGCCGCCGAATCCTCCATGTTTGTGGATGTGTGTCTAATACATTATTGTCACTTATCTGAAATTGTACAAGGGTCTCCTGCTTAAGCAGGGAGTTGGACTAGAAGACCTCCAAGGTCCCTTCCAGCTCTTGTCTGATTGATTGACTTATGTCAATCAGCCAGCGATGCCCGGCACGAGTCACGACACTTTCCTCTGCGGAGGGCCGCCCCAAATGCAACAGCCCGTGCCCAACCCTGCAAACCTGCAAAAGCGAAGATGTCCATCCGACCCGCCAAACAAAAAATGGAAAAGAGGCGGGATTGCCCCGCCCTTTTCTGCTCACGTGATTTCAAAGAACCGGAAAGTGAAAGCTCAAGGAAGATCCCAAGCTGGCCCTTCTCTTCCCGTGGCTCCGGAGGAGGAGACTTTACACGTGATTGGCGTCTCTTTTTGCAAGAAGGAGAATCGGCGGCGTAAGATGGCAGCCTGGAGATGTTCTGCATCCGCTTGGCAGGTGAGAAGTCTGGACATGATTAAAAGATTTCTGTAAATTTCAGATGGTTTTATCAGGAAGAAAATTGCAGAAGTTGCAGAACGTCCTCGCTGGAGCGGAATAAAGCATTACCGTAGTTCTTAAATGTGTTTTTAATTAGAAGACCCGATTCTGAGAAAAATTGATGCCTTGGAGTGACTAGTAACCGTTCATGTACTTTTTTACTTGGTAAACCATTTATACTTTCCAATTTCGCTGATTTAAATATACGTGAATAAATCTGGTATAAGAGGTGCTTCCTGTGAATCTCTGATGCCTTTGGTTTTCCAGGAATATAAAATAACTTCTTAGTAGAATATATGCACCCATGCATTTTGTCATCATTGATTTAGTTGAAACTTTTATATATTTGACTGTGTTATGTATTAAACTCTGAAGTATTACGTTGTTTCCTCCTTGGTTTCTTATGCTGCAGAATCTGACCAAAAGGGAACCAATCCCTTGGAGAATATGGATTAGGCAGAGATTTACAAGGTCCCGAATTCCAGAATCGGTAAGCCTTGGGTTAAAAAAATAAACATTATAGTTACAAATGAAAATGAAATTACAAATGAAAACGGTCAAAATATATTCTTAGTACATCAAATCAGTTATGAATATATGCTTTCACCTTTGTACTTTTAAAATTGAATTATGTAGGTCTGAATTGATCAGAGTTTAATTTTCCTTTATTTCTGATATACCTTCCTGGCTATGGAAGACTCGTTCTACCTTCATCCCAAAGTTGACCCTTGCTGTAAACCACATGTAAGCCAATTACTAGCCAGTATCCATGCCAGTAAATAATAAATTGTGATAAAAAAAGGAGGAAACCCCCCAGTTTAAATATGGAAAGCTAAACTTTGTCTTTGATATCTGGGATGAAATGAAGGCAATAGCTAGAGGGTAAGATGTTTAAAAATGATTATTTGGGCATCTTTGTGCCATGATTAACGTGAAGATGAGCCCTGGAAATCATTAATAACTGATTTTACTTATTGGATTGATTAATAATGAGGGTTTAACTTCTTTTAGGTATTTCAACCACAACCTGGTGATCATGAAAAATATGGTGGTAATCCAGAAGAGCCTCATAAACTACATCTTATCACCAGGATCAGAAGTGGAATGAGGCGTCCTTATTGGGAGAAAGAATTGCTTGAAGAGCTTGGATTAACAAAAGTATGTAATTTACAGTGTAAATGACAGTGTTAGAGATTTTTTTCCACCTTTAATGCTTCTGCATAAATTTCAGTTGTACGAATTGTTTATTCAGAAGTTGTGGAGTTAATAATTTGAACAAAATGGTTGTCTATGACTATATTTTGAGATATTTGGCCACATAGTAAAATAATTTGTAGCTAGAACAGCTCCATGTCACAACAAGTTATACTACTGATTAAACATATGAGTTCATTTTCATTGTAAGGCAGAAAGTTGGTATCAAAAGGAAAGGAGAATCTTGATTCGCAATTGCCTATTGATTCCAAATAGCCACAGTGTTTACTTGGGAACAGCATGGAAACATCTGCTTCTAATTCTTCTTCTTTTACTTTCCAGTGTAGCTTATAGTCCTGTTAACTTTGTTGATAAAATAATATTTGTAGCTCAGGGTTGAACTGTGGGGTCCTTGGTGCTCTCTGAGCTTGGTTGCTTTCCTGCAGATATTTCATTACCAAACTAGGTAATATCATCAGTGCTATACAATCCTTATAGTTTCCCCCAAATCCAACCTTGCATAGCTTCCACCGAGCTCAACATTAGCTACTTCTGTTATTTTGAACTGTTTAAGGCAAATTTTGTCATCAGGCTGGGTGATTTTTGCCCTTTGTAGCAGTTTGGAAAGAACAGTAAATTATACTAAAATTAGATCCATCTGAAAATGGCATTATTAGTTGGGGATGATTGCATCCTGCAATCACAACATTCTGTCCTTGCCAAATGGTTCTATCACAGCAGAAAATAAATGTATCCAAAATAATCTCCAGGGACATGTGTCATTTCTCAGAATTAAACATGTTGAACATAGAATGTAGTACCATTGGTATCTCTAGGGCTACCAGATATGGTCTGCAAGCATCAGATGCCATTAGATGACAAATTAATTCTGTAGTGACGTTTAGTAGTTGTTTGAATCTTGGATCTGGCAATCTGCTGCAATAAGAAGTAGCTATTCATAGAAATAATAAAATAAAACATATAGGCTATTGCTCTTAATTTAGGAACAAAAAGGGGTTTTGATGCTTCCTTCTATCTTAGGTTTTAAGATGTCCTTGCACAACCACTTCAGATCTTTACTTTTGCTTTCATGAAAGCATTTTGATGTCAGTGTTAGAATTGGCAATATCTTCTGGGTCTTTTACTATTTTAAAAATGCAGGGATGGCCATTCAGATATGTATTTTCTTAAACTATGTTACAAAGGTAGTCTCCAGAAGTTTAAAAAAGAAGTTGCTGCTCTTATGTGTCTGCCTGGTTACTGAATTAAGTGTAATATGAAACTAAGTAGAATTGAAGTGCTTTTGTTCTTGAAGGATTATAACAGATGAGGGAAGAGAGTGAACAAAAAGTGATTTCTGAAAAGAAGCTTTATACCTGTGTCACAATGATTACAAATGGCAGGCATAGCACAGGCTTTCATTCTGCCTTTATCTTTAGGAGTCTGGTCACATCATGATTGAAGCAATGAGTTGTGTGACATACAGATTTAATAATAAATAAGACCAAATGTGTGGCAGTATTCATTTTTTTGGCATTATCTTATGTTAAAGAAAAAAAAAGAAAAAATTAAGTTCTTAGAGGCTTCTTCATGGAATGTGTACTGTAATTGGGAAGCAAAGCACTTTTCTAGCATATAAAACAGTTAAGGGACGAACCAGGGGTGGGATGCTACCTGTTCTGCCCGGCTCTATAGAACTGGTAGCTCTGAAGAACAGCAGATACTGAACCGGTTCTGTGTCTGCTGCTATTTGGCCCATCCATCCACCCGGGCTCTTACCTGTCCTTTATTTCCTGCTTTTTCAACCTCAGCTGCTTTGTGCGGCACAGCTGAGGTTGAAAAAGCAGTAAAAAAGTGGCTTTTCAAAAGCTGCATACTCGCGCGCAGCACTTATCAGCTGTCCGGGCGGCACAGCTTAAGGTTTATTACACATGCACGCACTGGTCGTAACACCGGTTGAATCTCACCCCTGGGATGGATTGTCAGAATCAGGACAGTATTTGCTTCTGAGGACCACATGAGATTTGGAGCAGTCACCTGGGGGTTGCACAGCGGCAGACAGGATGATGAGACTGACACAGTAGCTAATATCAGACCTCTTAATAATTCTGCTCTTTACATGTTGTTCTCCACAGCTGAATCACTATAGAAATCAAGAATACTTAAGGAGTCTGCATCTTTAAGCAATTATATTTATAGTTAAATCCCTGAATGCTTTAACAAACGTTAGCTTTACAGGTAGTTCTTTTTTTTTTTTTAATAAAGTTTTATTGAGTTTTAACAAAACAAATAAAACATCTTATTTGAGTATAGCATGGTTCCGGTTTATCACATTTCCATACAGACACAATTTCATATGCACATTCATCTTATGTATTCAACTTCATATCTTATTACTCTTTTTTCCAACTTCTCACTATTTCTCCCTTTACTTCTCTTAATTTTTTTTTATGATTATCTCATTTTCTTCTTATTCAACTGTATTTCTTTTACCTAAATTTCTATATCTTTTTATTCATTGTACTTATACTTTCGTCTGTCTTGTTTACAATTTCATATGTTCTCTTCCAACATTCTTAAGAAGCAAAATTACCCCTATGATTGCCAATCGAAGTGCAACACCTTTAAATCTTATTGTTGTTATCATATGAAATCTCATTAAACATTGAATTTGTGCATTCTAAAATTATAACATTCCAATTTCTAATATCTATTTTATATCATGTAAATCTCATCATTCAGACTCTGCTTGGTACTTCTCCTTGAAAATGTAAAAGGAAAAATTCTAAAAACATAGCAAAAAAACTCTCCCCCCCCCTATCTATCTATCTATCTATCTATCTATCTATCTATCATCTATCTATCTATAAACATTAGTAAACAAAATAGTTATTCAAAATCATTCTAGTACTGGTATGAACCCTGTAAATATTTCACGTTTCTTTTCAATATCTATCAATCTTTGAGAACAATTGAAATGTTTCCCTCCCTTCTTCATTATTACTTAACTGTTAATAAGCATACCATTGGATAGCCATACAGTTTTATCTTATAAATTATTTACTATTAATAAGCAAAATAATTATTCAAATTCATTCTAATAACTGGTGTAAATTTCCTTATAAATCTTTCACATTTCTTTTCAATATTTTATTAATCTTTAGAAACAATTGCAATGTTTCCCTCTTCTTTATTATTGCATTAATTATAAATAAACTTACCATTATAAAACAATAGTTTTATATCATAGATTATTTACTTATTTCATTTCTAACTCATTACAGTATTCTACTGTCACAACACTATATTTTGTACCTTTGCAGAATCCTCACTTTTAACTTAATTTAACCATTGTCTCTGTGTTTTCTATCTGAGCAAATACCTTTAATCCTAGTATGTTTCCCCTTTTTCTTTATTTCCTGTTTTTGTCCCTCATAAGTTCTTTCCCTTTCTATCTTCCCCCCTTTTTCTCATCTCTTTTTTTATACCCTTCTCTCTCTAATTTTCCCTTCTGTAGTTTTCTTTTCTGCTTCTCCTTGCTGTTATACTTCTTTTTCAGACTATTTTTCTTTTTGGCTGTTCCCTTTGATATCAAACTTTTAACTCCTTTCCCCCTTTTTCCCCTTATTACCACACTTTGCATTATTTGATCATTGAAAATGGCTTCTTCTTTGTCCCACCCTTCTTGCTCTCGAAGCTTTTCCTTTTGCTTTTCATAGTTCAGGATCTCCATTTCAAAAAATTCAAATACGAAGCCAAAGGATCTTCCTCCCCTTTCTGCATCTTCTTTCTGTTTTTTAAGACTCATCTTCAATTCCTCCAGGAGTGATGCCATTTTAAACACTTTTGAACAACCACCCAATTGACTTTAAGTAAAAACAGAAAAAGAAAGAAAAAACCAATGCCAAATGATCCCAGACTGTTCCTTCTTGTTTCTTTCCTTTCCTTTTCCTTTCCATGGGTTACTGTATCTTTTAATAAGATTTCAGTTACAATGTATCCTCGGGAGTCTTTTTCAAAGTTTCGCTGTTAATCCTCTTTATTTTCCCAGGTGGCACTCCATTTTTTCATTATTCCAAGTTCCACCCTTTTGCCTCCACTCTTCTCCTTTTTAGGGTTTACAGGTTGTTCTTGTTTAATGACTGCCTTGTGTAATAATGGTAATTCAAATTACGTTGCTGATGAAAAAGTAACTTTACAAGCATTCCTCGCATTTACAACCATTGCAGGCAAGTCTGTAAAGCAAAGGAAAGCTGAAGTAATATCATAATCACAATCACAATTTTGGTTAGCAACCACTTCCCTTGGCTGTTGATCCCAATTGTGGCCACTAAAGGAAAACTACAAAACTATAGCAGAAATCAATTTAAGGGATCATAACATTTGTTTTATTGTTACTGAATATTTAGTATCTGCAGTATCTACAAAATCTAATCAAATGTTGTTACTGTAGCTGTTTTCATAAATTCACTTCTGTGATGCATTGGAAACCGAGTTAGCTTTGTATCACCTACAGAGATTTGATCCAGTGGTACTTAAAAACATCCCTTCTGTGAATGCAAAACTGAAAGTCATTAAACACCTAATAAGGTTGGTAATTCTTCTTATCAGCAATATTTTGCAATTGCTTTTGTGTAAAAATACTAATAGGTTGTTTCCCCTCCTCTCTTTTTGACTATAGAATAAAGCCATTAAAACTGCCTTATGGAATTCCAACTGAAGATGAAATACCTGATACCTATCTTAACAAAGTCACAGGTGAATTGATAGTTTGTCGCCATCTAAAAGAAGTGGAAAAGAACACCTCTGATTCTTCATAATAATGTATTAATACTTTATATAATAAATGTAATATTAAGTTGAGAATTGTATTCTGTAATTGCCACTAGAGGCATAATATATATGTTCATTTTTAGAACAATTTCTCTAGACTTAACTGCCTTCTCATAAAATTAAATAGCATTATTACTGAAGATAAAAATAATTTATCTAGTATTTGGGCATAATTTCTACTTAAGCTGGCTATTATAAATGTGACAGTATGAATAATAAGTAAATGCAACAGCAGCAGCTTTTGAGATATATTTTGGTATCTACAAAGTTTATAGAAGAGTGTAACTAACCAAACTGAATTTCTGTGACGGTTAAACTAATTTGAATTTGTTTTGCTGACCGTTGTTAGTCAGATAAAAGTTAATTTTTAAGGTATGCAATTGTGAATAACATACAAAAATGCAACGTTTCAGAATAAAGTGTCATCAGGCAGATATAGTCAATGGTCAGTTAATTGTAAATAGGCCATGTTTGGTCCATTTTCATTCCCCACCTCCCCAATAAAAAATAATTATGAGTTCTTCCCAGTAATCTTACCTCTATTTTTTAGTATTTTGATTGTTTGAGGATCCTCCTTTTGTAACTGACCCTTAGGCCTGCAACCAGATTTGTTCCTATTGGGATTTTTCGGGTAGGTGTATTTCTATATCTTGTTTCATGTCAGCAATTCACTTGAAATCATTTATATCTGTTTTTCCCACCCTTTCATTTGGGGAAGTTTTCCATTTTCAGACAGAATTCTTCTTGAATACTGTATATGGATGGTGTTCTTTTACCCTGGCATGTACCAAATTTTACTTATCCCATTTTTGGTTGGTAAACATTCCAGCTGAACTATTGTGTTTGGAAAATCCCTGTATGTTTAAAGACATCTGGTTCTCCTGACATTTATTTCACCTTTTTTATTAACATAATTTTGTATATATTTTTTGTTTTATGGGAAATATGAGATTGCTTCCTGGACAGTTTATATTCTGTTCTTTGCCAGGAAATCCATACTAAACAGCTTTTAAAGTATTAAAATTAAAGCACGAATGAAGGTCTATTTAGAAGCTGATAGCACATATTTTCAGGTCTATACTTCCTCTTTTTTCACAATACATACACAGTCCAGAAATAATGTAGCACATTTCTAATTCATTGCTCAAATTTTAAGTCTCTTACCAGATCTAGTATATTACTTTGAATTAATTTTTTTATCTCCTCGTGTTAGTTCTATGAATCAATAATGATTGATTGATCACATCAGGAAAAACTGTCATGTGTTGAATGTACATTTATCCAGTCTATGCATATAATGGAAATTGCCCATTACTAAACATTTACTTTAGATCTCTGATGGATTCTTTTTTCTAACCCAAGATGATTCTCTTCAACAAGCTAATAGTATGGTATGTTTGTGATGCTAACTTACTTTCAGGAACTTTCATTATATTTCCAGGGTAATGTTATGAGCTCACAGAATTCAGACCAGTTTGCAGATGCAATTTATTTGGACTACAAAAGAGAGAGCAACATTAGATAAGTTGCAGCTAGTTTATAGCTGTCTGTGTAAATTGATTTGAAATAGTACAGATAGTGACTCCATGGAGAAGTCCATTTTGACTGTCTCCCAAAAGCAGTATTCCCCCAGATTTCTTTTAATGCCCAGTCTTTCAAAGCTAGCCCTTTCAGATTCCTCAACTTGGTTAGAGCCTGTGGAAATATAAATCCTATGCACAAGTAAGCCTCTACAGATGACATAAGTGTTTTACTTTGCAGCCTTGGCTTGTTCCATTGGTTGTCACATTCTTTTGTACATTCATTGTGCAGTTTTACCCTTTTCTAAGTGGGTGATTGAAAATATTTTCACATCTTTCCCCAGTTCACCACTAAGAATGACTCAGTAGATGCTGTAGTGTAGATGGGTTCTGTTGATTTTCTTCCACAAACTAAAGTTAAAAGGATATAATAGTGTGGCGGAACAGAGAGTGAAGAGGAAGAAAGTCTTATAATGGGAATACAAGATTTATTTATTTATTTATTTATTTTGTCATAAGATAACAGGTATAAGTATAAACATAGTTATGAATACATGAAATGGATACATATAAGAAAAATAAAAAGAAACAATAGGACAGGAACAGTAGGCACGTTGGTGCGCTTATGCACACCCCCTTCGTTCAAGCTTGCTTGCATGAAGTGTGATTGCGACCATAAAATAGCAATATAGCTTTATTTTCGGCAGAAATTGGCACAACTTTATTTTTTGTAGAATTTAGCATATAGATCTTGCTAATGTTACATACAAAATTTGGATAAGGCTGAAATGACAGCATCTTGTTCTAGACTTTTAATATCCATTTGTTTTGTAAAACTTGGCTCTTGCAACAACATCATTGGCATAGTCATTCTTTGTAGTGCCTATATCCATTCGCTCATAGCTTTGGACATTTTTAGGTCCTGCATTGTAGGCTGAAATTCCACCTATCATTTAAAAAGTGAATGGACAAATAAAAGTTACATTAAGTACATAATGTAGACATTCCTCAAATACTAAGACAACTTACAAACTGAATCTAGATGGGATTAACCATACTCCTGATACAAAATAAGTTAAATAGCTGATTAGAGGTAAAGCACAGTATTCAGGACAAAAGATTTTCTTTCTTTCTACTTAGTAGAAGTAAGTAAATGTTTTGGAATAATTTTGCCTGCAGTAATCTACAAATATGCCTTTGAAGGGCTTGTTTAAAATTATATATTCATTAGATGACTAATTCAACATTTTTTAAAAAAATGCATAATTTCTATTCTTATCAGAAAGTTAAACAGAAGTTTTATTTAAATATACTAGAAGAGAGAAAATAATATTGGAAAATTGTATCTTCCTGAGAGATTTTGTGAATAGATCTTACTTCCCAAATGGTGCAAGGTGGGTCCCCTGTAGGAAGCTCTGCACCCATAAGCTGGGCACTTTTTTGGAACGGTGATTTTCAGAAAAGGTAACTGACGCAAAATGTGAAGGGGTGGGGAGGAGGCCCAAGGATGTGGGACCCAGCAAGGCAGGAAGCAGATCCAAGTCTTGTGATACAGCTGGGCAGGAAGCAGGCCCAAAGCCTGTCAGGACCCACCTGGGCAGGAAGGTGTACAAGGTGTACCTGGGGTGGGGAAGGCCTGGGGCAAACCCTGTGTGAGCTGGGAAGGTGCTGCAAACCTTGGCTTATGGCAGGCCTGCTGAGACACCCAACACTCTGCTTAATGACCCATACAATCATCTAAGACTGCAATAGGGAGAGCCAAGTTTGCAGTGATTGGGCAAGGCAATCAAATGGACGCTTTGCTTCATTGCAACAACTTATAATTGTAACACTGGCCTCAATTACGGTTGTAAATTGAGGATTATCTGTAACCTGGTTTCTAATCTGAATTATGTGAAAAAAAGTTCTTGTCCATCTTCAATATGACATCTGATCTGAAGTTATCTGCTTTTGCAGTAGACTTCCAATTACTAACTACACATAGTCCCCAATTTACAACCATTCATTTAGTGACAGTTTGAAATTACAGCAGCACTGAAAAAACTGACTGACCATTTTTCACACATCTGTTGAATATTCACAATGGTGAATTTATCAAAAATCAGATGTTTGACAACTGGCATGTATTTGTGAAGTTGCAGTGTCCCAGGGTCACCCTTTACAACCTTTTGACAAGCAAAGTCAATGGGGAATTCAGATTCACTTAACAAAAGTGTTACTAATTTAACAATTGCACTTAACAACTGTGGCAAGAAAGGTCGTAAATTGAAGCAAACCTCACTTGCTGAGTCTTGCTTAACAATGAAAATTTGGGGCTGAGTTGTGGTTGTAAGTCAAGGCCACCTGTACTAGGTGAATAATAATAATAATAACCAAATAAAAAGGATTGGTTGGTAACAAAAACTATTTTATCATAAATGAATGCAAAAGCATATATATTTCCTTTCTAAAGATCTCCTCTTTGGTTGGGAATTTTCCATTTTCTTCTCCAAACCAGAGAATCATCATCACATGCTATAAATACTGAGTCACATGGAAAAATTATATGAAGGATCTGGACATAAAACAGATTCTATGTAGATTTTAGAAGAATGATGTTTCATACCTTTGAGCTGCTGTTCGTTTGTCCATGATGGAAATTTTTTTTTAATCTCTTCTATCATGCTACAGAGAATGAGAGCCCCCTGATTAATATGTTCCTCACTGTCCCAGGTGCCAACTACTTTATGATATCTTTTATCCACCTGAAAAATGATTAAATGCTTTCAATTATTCTGTAATAATTATTGCTATGATTATGTTATACCGGGATAGTTCAGTTGCGTTGCAAGCTAATGATTAAAAATACAGATCAGTTACCAAAGAGATGTATAATCAGAACATGAGAAAGATACTATAAAGAGTGGAGCAGAGAGTATATTTAGGGAGAAATGGAATTTTTTTCCATTATATAAGGTTGTATTTTGCTTAGGAGCAATTATAATCACAACTTATAATTACTCCAGGATAGCTTTGCCTAGAGTTGTTGAGCATTGTGTGTGTCTTAATTTATAACAAAAGTCTTTACCTGCATTAATCCAAATCCATTTCCATGGTCACCCCAGCCATCATCAAGGATAGTTCCAGCATGTGATTCTCGAGAGATTATAGCAGCAATCACAGCTGCATCAATATTTGTTTTTTCGCTGACACGCTTAATCTTCATTTTATATTTCTCTAGATTGTTTAGGTCTTTCCTTGCAATTATTTTTGAAGCCTCAACCCCTTGCAGAGGGTAAAAACAAACATGAGAAATGTGCTTCTGATTAAAAATAACAGTTGGAATTAAACTAAATAAAACAATTCTTAAGTTTAAGAATTTGATAGGAATAGGAAGCCCATCTCCATTATAATGGTCAATGTGTCACTGATATTGATGGGTTTATCAGTAACTTTGTTAAAAATTCTAATTTCTGGAAAACTAAAGTACTTCATGGACATAGCCGTTGCTTTCTTCAAAAACATTTTTTTTTCAGTTTCTCAATCTAATCCACACTTCCAGCAATGTTCAATTCTAGCATCTGAATTAACTACGTTGGAAGCTGTTCATTTTTGAAATTAAAGTACATGCTGCCACCTAGATGCGCATCAAAGAGCTTATAGCTGATGATGTTACCTAGTTGGTTAATGAAACAACCAAACCTAGAGAGCATCAAGGACACCATGGCCAATTTAGTATAATGGTTAGGCTAGAAACTGGAAGTACCATGTGTTCTAGTCCTGCTTTAGACATCAAGCCAGATGGTGCCCTTGAGTGAGTCACTCTTAGAAAAAAGGCAATGGCAAACCACTTCCAAATTCTTGCCAAGAAAACTGCAGGGATTTGTGAGTTAAACTTGACTTGAAGGCACACAAACACAAGATCATCAAATGCGTATTAAATTTATTGTGTAAGTGAAAGCAGAAGCAGAACCAAAATAATATGATTACAGAAAGGACAGCAGCCAACAAGTAAGTGGTTCTTATGGCAAAAGTAGGGGTGGGGAAAAGGTTAAAGAATAAAAACAAAAAAGCAAGCAGAATTAATCTTCAGAAACCATAGCAAGGACTACAGAATGGACCACAATGAAGAAATAACATTAAATGCCAAAGAAAAGTTCTCTCAATTCTCATTCCTAAGAGGAGACAGAAACCTTTAAGAATATGGTCCTATTGCTGTAGGTATATAATTGTGCAGTTATATATTTTGTTATAAAGCAAATCTAATCACTGTGTTTAAGCTATTTATATAGTTGCAATAAACATATTTTTTTTCCAAAGAAGAAAAAAACAAGACTCTGCTCAGGAACATACAGACTTAAGAACAGTTACACATTGAACAGAAAAGAGAAAGAAAAAATATATCACATTGAATATATGTATATTCAAATGTAGGTTATAGTTAATCTTACCCCCAAACTCCAAGCCTTCTTGTTTTCCAGTTTCAAGAGAAGCTCCAGTAGTATCCACATCCATTATGTTACCGTAATAAGAAGAACAAGCTGTTTATAGAGGCATTAAATTACTGTCTAGTCACAAAATGTATTAAGCAGTCTATTGGAAAGGAATTCTGAAGCTGACAGTAATCAACATAACAATGCCGATCAAAATAAGTATATCTATATACTATTAAAACTCTTGTGTCTGTAACCTTTAACTGGATGAAATGGGGCAGGATAGAACAAAACTTTGAATCAAGGTACCTCAAATGGGCTAACTTACAGGATCTATGGCCTATGACTTCCATGGAACTGATATTTGGCAAATTTTATAAAACATGACATAAAAG